CTCACCTTCAACATCATTCACAAGCACATCAAATTTCACGAACTCGTTCAAGTTGAACTCAATGTTTTCAATCACTATCACTTCCTCCTCCTCTTCTTTCTCCTCCTTACTCCTCGATTTCTTCGGCCTTGAAACCTCAACTGTCACAGTTTGTTTCTCTAAATTCAGAGGGAAAGTTCTTGTGCTGTTCTCTTTGGTTTTCTTCTTTCCAACACTTCCCTTCACCAATGTTTTTCTTGGTACTGGCTTAGCTTTTAGCCATGGAAGATCAACATCTTGGTATACATAACCCAGATTTTTAGTATCTAAACAATCTTTTATTTTGACTCGGACAAGATTTGAATTCTTGTCGTAGAAAACAAATGCAGAATTAAGATAATCTGGGTCGGTGAGATCCTTGCGTTTGCCTCCGAGGTTCTTCCAAATCGCCCACATTCGATCAACATTAGAGTGATGAGCAAAGAAAATTGAGTCCCTCCCGGCAGAGAAGAAAGCTCCCATGTTCTCATTATTTGGCTGATTTCTATCTCTTGTCCAAGTATGTAGATTATTATGAGGAGACTTCTCGATTGTACCCCCTTCTTTTGGATCGTTGGGTCCTTGACCAGCTCTAATTGGTTTCCCAAAAAACAGTCTAGGGAGTTTTGCACCAGATACTATTTGCCTATACATGATCACTAGATTGTCTTTAATAAGTTCTTTTTTCGATATCGTCGGATCAACCCCGCTGTAGTCAAGATCAGCCACTGTTGGTGGCTGGTGCTTAGCGTCTCTTAATGGGTCATAGAGCGGAGACTCCGGATTTGTATAAATGGCAGGCATTGTCATTCCAAGAGGCGTGTCCCAGTTCCAGAATGGTAAAGCAAATGTTGGGTCACCAATCAATTTTCCTAAAATTTTCTCGTAAAAGTAAAGATAGTATCTATGAAATGGAAAGAAAAGCCAAGAATAGTGAACTTGAAGCTCTACTTTAGGAAACCCTACTTGTTTATAAGCTCCAGAACAATAAGCACAATGAACTTTGGCTTGTTGCTTAAAGCTACGAGGATCATCAGCACGAAGTGCTTTCATTAGCTCAGTGGCTTTTTCATACTTGGCTATATACTCCTTGTCAACCAAATGCGCAGCCAGCCTAACTCGGAGCCGCTCACATGGGAACGGTGGCTTGAAATCTGTTATCTTTCTAGAGGGTGGTGGGAGACAATTAAATGGTACTACATCAGGCTTAGGTGGGAATGGCCCGGAAAGATCGGGTGGTTGAATTGGAGCAGCCAATGCAAAAGGGTCTTTACTGTTGAGAGTAGTTGCTCCATAGAGGCCTCCTAAGCTAATAAGAACATCTCTTCTATCAAACATTAATCTGTTTATAGAACTTTGTAATTCTCCCTTTTTGGTTTTAAGGTTTTTGAAATCGTCATCTTCTTAGCTATTTATGTTATTTCATGATACATTGACGCTTAATTTAGGAAAGAATTTAGGGTTTGATCCCTTGCTAATTGGCATGCAAGGTTGGGGTGGTTTCTGAGGGAAGAGAGTTGTGACGAATGGGGAAGAAAATAATTGAGAAGCCATGTTGATGATCATTAGGTTTAGGTGTTGATGATAAAGGCTAGCTTAATTAGCTTGCATTTATACTGAAATACTTTTTTGGAATTTTTGACATTTATAGAAAAGAAATTATATTAAATTTGATTTTATGCATGCATAATATGACGCTGCAGATGTTTTATTACGACAAGCTTGCTGTCTCATATGTGTCATAGTCCAAAAATTGATTAATTGATCTTATATTTTTCTAATTAATTTTTTTAAATTTAAATATTTAACTCATGTAACATGAAGTTCTCATTATAAATTCTTATTTCGAGCAGAAATTCAGAAAAAAATCAATCTTTTTA